TTCCCGTATCTCTTAGGTCGAAGAAGGAAAAACAAACACTATCAGCTGACAAGTAGAATACCCAGTAAGTAAGCTGAGCTCAGTTTCTTAATAAATAAGGGAACATAATTATATCAAATTTTCTATTGATATTGCAGTCCGTGTACTTATTGTAATTCGCTGAAGTTGGCGCTAGCGAGGAATCACAGTTATGGAATTCTTCGAGAATCCCAGCTATAAACATATCGCATATATCGCATTGATTGTCCAAAGTGATTGATATATAACTCTGTATGTCTGGAGAGAAGCCCCTTCTGGCATGCTCGGAGCTTAGCAGCTTTATTTACAACTGACAGTCAGCAGCACTTTCTACTTTTTGGGCATTATGTCTCTAATTTGACGTGTTGCTGTTGCTTGTTGAAAAGCAAAAGCAATTTTTGTTAACTGATAATTAGCGGCGGCGACGACGGCGGCGACAGCAGTAGACAACACAGCGCGCTTTTAGCTCTATCAGTTCCCAAAACACAACAACTACAGCAGCAATAGCAACAAAAACAACAACAACAGCAACGACAACAACATTTGCGACGACTCACTCATATGACTTGGCAGACCACGAGACTTCAACACATGGAGCCACAGTGGCAAAGTCGACAACGTTGGCATTTAAATATGATTATACTCTGTGGAATGCAGTGGATCCACAAGGGGTATATACAGTGAACGATACATTAGACCTATTATAAAACTAATATAGCCATATTCTATATCCAAAACCCATATTTTATTTAATTAGATCATTCACTTTTTAGGCTGTGAAGAGTCTGTCTGATTGGCATTTAAATAGGATTATACCCTGTAAAATGCAGTGCAAGCCGCCTTAAGGCAAAAGTATATTTTCTATTATATTCAACTGATAAGCCATTAGAAAGGCTTTTAATCTGCTTTGACCATGAAAAATAACTGTTTCTATAATTAAGCCTTAATCCAACTACTTGAGCTGTTTTTATAGCCAACCTTCCAGGATCGTTAGCATATCCATTAGTTACTGTTTACTGATGGCTAGACTACACCTCAAACACACACACACACTGAAAGAGAGAGGCGCCCATTAACTGCATATAATTAAGGTAAGGTAACTATCGCGGCTGCGACGTAAATGCTGGCTCAAGGTGCACAGAAAACGTTTTAAAAAATAATAAAAAAAATATATATATACATATATACATATATGCATACATAAAAAAAAAACAGTTTACACAATAAACAACTAATAACAAGATATGTATGTGGTCAAAAGGTTCGGCAAAAGGCCAGACAGCTGGGCGCCTCATTAGATGATCTCGTAATGGGGCGATGTAAATCACACGATAGTTATTATATATACCATATAAGCCAGGGGGGATTACGTACGTAAGCGAAGCGCTAATGATTGATGTGTACACACGGCTATGCACCCGTGCGTCTGTATGTGTGTGTGTGTGTGCGTGTGTGTCTGTATTTGTTTAAACAATTCGCGCACACTTATCAAGTTTTTAATGAATTTCCAATTTACAATCAATTTTGGCATTTGGCTAGCCCCGAGAACCCCCCCCACACACACACAATAGATTTGAAAACCAAATTATTTATAACACAGATTCGATTGATTTATATTTATGTGACGAATTTGATTAGCAATCATATAAATCGAATATTTCACACGATATATACATACATATATACGTCGTTTATGCAGACAATATACGCGAATTGGCATAAAATTTCCACAATCGAGTGCTAATTGCAGCATAGACATCGAATTATATAGACATATGTATATATGTGGGTATATAGTACAAATATAAATATAGCCACGTGCTAAATTGAATTGCTTTGTGTGAAAGTTGGCTATTCACTAAATAAATAATCAATATATTTATATTATATATACAGATATATAAATACCTATGTATATGTGTGTATAAATTTATTAACCACGTGCTAATTACAGCGCATACATTCATTAATAGTTAAAATATCTTTGTGTGTGATTTATTTAGTTATGTGGGTTAGGCTTTGGTTTTACCAACTCATTTATTTATTTATTTCGCATACCCTATGTTGGAAATATTCACACAGGGTATGATGTTCTTATGAAAAATATACGAATTACTGGTAAAAGTATGTAAAAATGGTGCTATACATATAAAGCACATCATGAATTGGTCTTTATTAATATCAAGCTCTGTCTGTCGGTCTTTCTAAAAGCAGTGATCTTTTCAACTAAAATACATTTGATATATATTTACAATTTCTTAAAATCAATACAAAAGTATAGAAATCTTAAGATATAGATGTCAAATATATGTAATTTCTATATTCAGCGGTTAGCCTTCGACTACTTTATCCGTTCACCCATTATAAAAACCGAAATGAGCAAATACATTCGTAGAAATGTTCCACGTTTAACAAATTATCAGGAATTATTTCAAATAGAAGTATGGTCAGGGTATATGCTATTTGATCATTTGTTTATTTTATAATATTTATTTATCTGTCTCGAAATATTTCGCATATTGAATGCGTGTCTGTGTCATATTGGTCATATGACTATCTGGTGACTAGCGAATGTCTAAGTATGGACACGACTTGGTCATGAGTCAGTGTGAGGGGATTGGCATGGATGACTGACATTCGCCAGCTAAGTAAATAGACACACTTCTCTAGCCATGATTATAATTATGATGATCGCACTCTTGCGATAGGGCTGTTTCTCTTTGCCTGTTTTGGCAATAGATAAAAGGCCGTATAGATAAATAGGAATTTTCTAAGGAATTCAGTCGCAAGCCAAATGGAAATGAACGATAACAAACTCATCCGCACACACACACACAGACAGGCAGAAACGCACACACAGCCACACGCCCGCGTATACACGTTCATATAGGCGTGTGGAATGGAAATTTACTCAAACGTGTCGCCCATATAAACAATTTAATAAATTAACTGTTAACTGTCAGCAAAAGCAAACACAATTTTATTTAGTTTACAGCGCCCAAAACCTGACCTATCACAATATTATGCTACCCCACCCGCCCAGCGTGCCACGCCCATCAGCTGGCAGCTTTAACAACGATTCTCAATGAGTTTAACTGCCAACAATTTGAAGTTTACATTTAGCAAAGTGCAAAAACCCCGCGTTTAATTAGCAGAGAACAAAATTTATCACGTGATGGTGAATCGAGAGAGTGCAGCACAAGCTCGCTCTCTCGTCACTCTCTCCCTCTTTCACATACAAACATATACACTTATACATGTACATCTGTGTGAATGCGCCTTTACCACGAATTGGCCAATAGCCACTCGAGTGTGCCAAAAGGCCGTTGATATATGGTATATTTTAGGCCTTATCGGCCATTTAAGGGGGCTGAAGGCAGAGCATGAACCTGCCTCTATTAAATACCCATTTAGACCCACACTCCACACACCTACAATCATTTGTATGTGTAAGCTGATCGCGTTAAGCGATTGCTGTATAAACGATTTGCTCAAGCTGTGAATTAAATGGGGAAATGCAAATTCTAAATGAACAATTGATATAGCTGCTGGTAGTAATATTATTATGATGATTGTTGTTGCTGCTGATCGAGTCACACACACGCACATGCACACGCACACATTCACACACTCAATATGCAAACAAACAAACATACAAACAAAGAGAGACCGCAATCAGAACAGTTGACGGCGTGTGCAAGCGTCAAAAATCAACATTGTTAACGCGCACACAGTTCAACATACATAAGCAAATAAACAGTAATAAATAATAATTAAATGAATTAACAGAAAACCAACAAAGCAATGCACATGACATATTGCAGCGAACAGTAGATACCCTTTCTAATAATGAATTTTGAAGCATATTATGGTCTAGTTCCCAAGAAATCAGTTCAATTTCAAATATCCTCCTCGTTAAGGGTATTCATATATACCCACAAACATATTGACGCATATACGCACACATTCATACCTATGCGCACCCAACAGTGGCGAAGCCAACAACAAAGTGTGTATGACATAATAATCACGAGAGCAAGCAGCGACTGTGAACGCCGATTAGCAAGTCATGTGATTCGTTTTTATTTACATTTGCGCCTTACGTCCGCGTTCGCCGCAACCGTCTTTCTCCATTCACTGCCAACACACAATCATATACACACATACACATATGCAGACGCCTACGGCAACCCACTCTCAACGCTGATCGACAAAGAGAGAGAGAGAGCGAGCGACAGCGGCAAAATGAAACCGCGTCGCAGCAAGCCAAAACTATCCGAACACACCATTAAGAGCGTAAGGCGAAAATAGTAGGGCGAATGGAGAACAGAGAACAACAGAAGCGCAGTAATTTTGTTGTTGGCTGGGGTCGCACCTTTGATTTGCACTTTGACTTCCAACAACAGAGCAACAGCTATCAGACCACACACACACATACATATACTAAAACGAGTACAAACAAAGATAGAGAGATGGAAACATAGAGAACATTGCATTTTGGCGTACGTGACGAGAAATGAACCATTTGCTAAAATGTTTGTTGGGTTATTGTCCCCGTTTACGCTCGCCAATTTGCGTACTAAACACAAAGAGGAAGAGATAAATAGCACCACGAGCTGACAGCGACAAAAGCAAGGCAAAGCCAATGGAAATGCTTTCATTCTATCTGTATGCATAGGTATTTATTTGGTTATTTCATACTTCTTTTTCCCACACGTTGCATGTACAGCTGCCTAATATACATTATAGGGGTTGTGTGCCTTTGGTTTTGCCGTCCCTTTACAGGCGACTTAACGCCAGGTGTTAAGCATTACACACAGCAGCTAGAGATGAGCGCGTGATGGCCGTGCTATTTCTACTTATGACTAACTATCATGACACGTGCCTGTCTACTATAGTTGTACACAGTTCTACATATACGAACTCGCGTGTTTATGAGTTTAAGTGTTTATACACAAACATACAATACGACAAACACTTACCTTAGATAATTTCTGGATGTTTGCGTAGCTTTTGCGGACGCCGAACTATTGTTGCCGGCTGAGGCGTGAGTACGTGATGCCGCCTCCGCTACTGTTGTTTGGCCATAATTTAGCGTCGGCTGCGCTGTTGTTGGGGTTGTTGTTTGGATTGCAGCGCAATATGCTGCCGTTGGCGTCGCTTGCGTGGGTGGTGCTGCTGCTGCGGCTGGTGGTGTTGGTACCGACGGAAAGAACAGTTTATTCAACAAGGCCATAATAATATACAACTGGCGCAATCGCAATCATTTATTAAACACATCTGGCCAGCCGACACAAATTATTGCAATTCACTTGAACACAATTGCTCTGCCTTTTGCTTTTCCGTTTGCCTTTAGTTTTCTTGCTCTTACTCTTCTCGTTGTCGTTGTCGCTGTTGTTGTTTTTGCTGTACATGTGAACCGCGGATGGAAAGCAGCGACGTCGGCAACGGCGACGGCCCGTTGCAACTGCCGTTATATTTGTCTAACACGCTCACTGTCCGAGACGCACGAACAAAAACAAATACGCAGGCTAAACAAACAGTTGACGCACTCAAGATTTTACACAATTGAACTTTCGCTTTGCACTTTTCTTTTTATTCACATTTACTTATATGTTCACACACATATAGATGTTGTTTTTCTCTTTTTGGCGAATGATCTCTTCCTGTCTGTGCCAAAATACACACGCGCTGTGGTTCTTTTGATTGAATATTGCTATTTTTGTGATTATCGTCGGACACGATGGGCTTTGCCAATTTCACAAGCGATTAATATACATATAAACGCTTGCATATATGTATTCTGCATTTCCTCGCACTTTTTTATAAAAAAATAACAAACTTATTTCGCGCCCACATACACACCAATCAGAAGAGTATCTACAGTGTGCTTCTTATATGTATCTCTTATTTTTTTGAAAGGCACAAAAAATGTATACGTATGCTGCATTCAACTGTTTTGTTTTCTTTTTCAAAGCAATTGAATTTTATTTTCATTTGATGCGCAGCTCGGCGGCATACATGCGACTCCGACGGCAAAACAACAACAAATGTTATTCTTCTTTAATGTTAACGGTTTAACATGAACCACCGCGTCCGCTTTTTCAACTGTTAAGATTCTGTTTAACTGGCAAAGTTAATGCTCAAAAGAGCTGTGGCTACTCAAATGAGCTGTTAGCTCTAACAGTTCTGCTACTGATTACATCGATAGCTTATCGATATGTCTTTTAGATTTAGGCAGCTAATTTAAATTTTGATTTACAAATGCTATAAATATTTATAATATTCAGAGATATTTATTCGATAAATTTTAATTGTTGAACTTTATTTGTTGACTTACATATACATACTTCAAAAAATTTGTAGACCCACATACATGCGAGGGAAAGTGGGAAATTGGTATTACATATGCTGAAGTTTTATTTTGCGTTTTGCTTGCTTTCTTTCTTTCTTTGTTTTTCAATTCAAGTTAAGACGAACCAAACATACGTAAAAAGTTATTTCATCCTTAGACATTAGCGCTAAGTAATTCGTAATTCCTGCCACCAAAGCACGTAGGAATATTATAGATAATTGAAAGTGTTTATGTTTGTTGCCATAACTATAAAGAGATTTTGATATCAAATAGAAATAAATGGTGCGACTTTGAGCCGCTCCATAAAGAGAGAGAGAGAAGCTTACATTATAAAGGTTTAATGTTTTATACTTTCGTTAAACTGGTTGGTTGCTATCTTGTGTGCCTAGCTGTGTGCTGTATGCGCGTGTGTGTGTCTGAAATATGTTGGCAGCAGAGCCTAAGTAACTAACTATTCCTTGCATGCGGAAGTGTCCATGGGACTGGCCGGCTGTATAAACGCCGTGGCTGCACCACTTGGCTGGTTGGTGGGCGTGAATGCCGATAAAGATGAGTTGCTGCTGCTGTTGATCAAATTGCCGCTGGACGTATTGTTCATCAAATTGGATGACGAGGACGAAGCACTGCTGGATGTGCCCGTTAACTGATTATTCAAAGACAAAATCCCGCCGGCCACAAATGTGCCTGCACTGCAGGCGGCGACATTACTCTGGCCCAATCCAGCGCTACCAAAGCTCAGTCGTTCATTGCTCAAATTTGATAGCAAGCCAGCCATAGAACCACTTGCCATGCCCGTTTGACCAACACCTGGAGCAGCTGTGCCGCTATAGATGGCAGTGGGTCCGGTTCCCATCAATGGATTTGCGCTAGTCAACACATTCGGTGCAGAAGTGTTTAGCCCCAACATGGGCGTAGGCAGTGCTGGCTTTATAAAACGTTCACTGGCGCGACGATTCTGCAAGATTTCAAATACATATATATAAATCAGGTTCTTAGGAATCTCTTAATAGTTGGCTCACCACAAGTTGCCCGCAGGCATAACAACGATTTTGTCCGGCTGTGCCTGGACTGAGTGGGCGACTGCTTGAGGGACTGTGCGAAACGGGGCTGCTAATGGTGCGTTGTCTTTGAGCATTGACGGCAGTTGGATTGCCAGCCATAATATTTTCGTTATAGAAGCGCTCCTCATCCATTTCCAAAGACGATTCTGATTCAGAGAGGTGACGGCACAGGGCCTCACGTCGTTCTACCTCCTGCTTAAGTTTACGCTGAAGTCTAGCATTCTCTTCCCGTATGGATTTTTCCTCCTTTTGGGCGGTTGCGAGGTTGGCACGCAGACGTAGCACCTCAGAGCGCAACGTCTGAATGTGTGCGCTTAAATTTGTGGCGGTATCGCCGTTGGCATTATTGGTGATATCACGTGGTGTTGTTGGATCAGAGACCGGCTGATCAAGTTTAATTTGTAGCGAGCGCTTCTCTGTTTCCAGTTTATCCATGCGCTTCCACAACTTATTGACCAACGCCTCCTGCTCCTGTTCGAGTGTGTTCTCCAGCTCGACCATTTCGCGTCGCAGCTGCTCTAAATTTGTTTGCTTATTATCTGTTTCCGCTTGAAGCTTCTCAATCTTGCGCATTAGCTTGTTGACTAAGCACTCTTGTTCCTGCTCCAGCGTTTGCTCCAGCTTGCATTTTTCTTGACGCAGCTGATCCAATTTGCGCGATAAGTCATTTGTGAGGCACTCCTCCTCGCGCTCATAGTGATGCGCCAGTGTCTCCTTTTCCTTCTTAAGCGCTTGGATTTTCTTCAACAACGTGTTGGATATATACTCCTCTTCCTGCTCCGCTTTCGCTTGCTGGGAAAGGCCAACAATTATATCTACTGTTGGAATATGTATGCCAACTACTCACGATTATAACCGATGCCTGTTTTAAAAATCGATTCTCCTCTTGCACCACTTTGCATTTCGTCTTGAATGTGTCCAGCTCTGCTTTCAGAACTCTGCAAAGAGGCATTGATAATTATAGTATTGAATTGCTGTTAATATTCTTAACATACTTGTTTTGTTGTGTGAGCGATTCGATTCGCTTTTGCAGCTGCTCTCTGGACACGGGACTCGGCGGCAGCATGGTGCCACCATCCAGTGAGCTCTCTGACTCACAGGGACTTTCCATAGTTCTGAAAAATAGAGAAAATAGCCACGATGCTAGCATAAATGAATACCTCAACGTTGCTCTGCTTTCCCTTGAATTTCAGTACAATAAAAAAAGCATGCAAGAAATTAAATGAAAAACAGCAGAAGACAACAAAGAATAATGTATTCACTTCTGGGACTCTGATCGCAATTGTTGTTGTAGCTGTTCTTCTTTTATTTCTTACATATTTCGTTGTTGTTAGTGTTGTTGTAGATTCAGCAAACAAAGAACAGCGTCCGTGCCACAGAAAATTGTTTAACCTTCACTCGTGTGCAGTTCACTTGATTTTTGCCTCTGGTGTTAGGTTTTAAATCATTTTCTTTTTTTGTTTTTGGCGTTTTATGCAATTTTTATAAATCGATAACAGAACAAGGTCAGGCATTGACATTGTACGCCAGAGACATCTCGCATTGCAGGCGGCTCCAGAGAATCGACACCACGGCCATCACAACCACCCCCTACCATTAATAGGGGCGGAACAGCGCCCACCTTCTGCACAGTGGTCCCACTGAACAACAGCTGGCGACAAAGACGTTGCAGCTCAGGCGTTGGTCGAGTGATTTTTAAATTGAAAAGTTTGCGTTGCACACTTGCCAAGCATTTCGCTATGCCTTTGCACGTAATTAACATTTACCTGTACGTCGTCTTCTCTTCTGTTCGGTGCCCTATAAGACCTTTTTTCACTATGCGCCGCCTTTGCTACTACTACTGCTGCTGCTGCTGCTGGTTCGTGTTGGTGCTGCTTCTTGCCAATGTCAGGGCGAGTATTGAGCTTTTGTTAATTTTGACAGCTCTCTGTCAGTGTTGCTAGGCGTGTGGCGTACGGAGGACGTGTATACGTGTATGCCAATTACTTGGACCTATTTAATAGGTTTTCACTTTGCCAAAACGCAAAAGCATTTTGCAAGTTTAACTAAAAAGTGAATAATGCGAAAAAATTGCTTTAGCAGCACAGTGTGACCGTTTAGCCCGCAAAACTAAAATGCAACGACAATGTGACCGAAATATTATTAAAACCAAAATGGCAAAAATTACATACACTACTTTGGTATTTTAATACTAAGATGGTTTACTTCTCCGCTCACACGTGCAGATCGATTCGTAAACGGCAGAGGAATTTATTTTTGTATTCTTATATTGGTTGTAAATAATGGCTGACGATGTTGGCCAGGATAAGCGAAAGCAGCACCGTGCCCGCCAATCTGGGGTCAAGGCGGAAAAGAAGAAGGTAAAGGCCAAAAAGGATTCCAATCAAAAGGAACCCGAATTGACGGCGCGCCAACGAAATCCAAAAGCGTTTGCTATCAACTCGGCACAACGTGCTGAACGCAATTTTCGACGCAAAGAGGATCTGACGGCCAAAAAGCAGCATATTCCCATAGTCGACCAGACACCCGATGAACCGCCACCGGTTCTGATTGCGATTGTGGGTCCACCCAAAGTAGGCAAAACAACGCTGATCAAGGATCTTATCAAGAGCTTCACACGCACAACTGTTACGGATATACGTGGTCCTATTACTATAGTAACCTCAAAAAAACGACGCATTACCTTGCTGGAGTGTAACAATGACATTAACTCAATGATTGATGTAGCCAAGTGTGCGGATCTGGTGCTTCTGCTCTGTGATGCAAGCTATGGCTTTGAGATGGAGATCTTCGAGTTCCTGAACATTTGCCAAGTGCATGGCATGCCCAAGATCATGGGTGTGCTAACCCATTTGGATATGATTAAGAATCCCAAGCAACTTCGCAAACGGAAGAAGGAGCTGAAGCATCGATTCTGGACAGAGGTCTACGATGGAGCTAAACTCTTTTATTTGTCTGGCCTGCTCCATGGCGAATATTTGCGTAATGAGATCAAGAACCTGGGTCGCTTCATATCTGTTATGAAGTTCCGTCCACTGCAGTGGAGAGGAGCGCACAGCTACCTTCTGGTGGATCGCATGGAGGATATCACCAATACGGATGCAGTGCGCCGGGATCCCAAGTGCGATCGTGAGGTCGTCCTGTATGGCTATGTGCGTGGTGTGCCGCTCAAGCAGGAACATATGGTACATATTGCCGGCTTGGGAGATGCACGCATCGACGAGCTAGGCGTTATACCTGATCCGTGTCCTCTGCCTGGCACAGAAAAGAAGCGTAGTTTGCTGGAAAAGGAGCGTCTGCTCTATGCCCCTATGTCGGGGGTCGGTGGCATCGTCTATGACAAAGATGCTGTATACATTGAGCTCCAGGGCTCGCATTCACATAAGGAAAAGACAGCCGAGTCCAGTGAGCAGGAAGCACTGGTCAGCAAATTGATAGACAAGAAGACCACTATCGATGAACAAATTGAACAGCAAGAATTCCGACTCTTCTCTGATGGTGCGCCCATCATGTCCAAGGATTTTAAAATCGAAGAACAGGTGAATTCCGATGAAGATCATGAGGAAGACAGCGATGCAGATGATTCTGGCTTGGATGCAGCCTCGGACGACGAAGAGCAGCCTGATGAATTTGCTGCTGATGATTGGCGTGGTGAGGATAGCGATAATGAGGAGGAGGACCAAGAGGATGAGGATGAGGATGTCTCCTCCGGTGATGAAGAGTATCAAAGTTTGGCGGATGTCAAAAAAAGCGCAGCGGACAGCGAGGAATCCAACGAAGAGGATGATGAAGCACGCATCCTGGCCAGCAACATGAGCTGGAAAAACAATCTGGCACAAAAAGCGCGTGATGCCTTCCTGCAACGTCACTCGGAGTCCCGCAATTTGATGCGCATTGTCTATGGTGTTTACAACCAAGGCGAAGTCAAGGAGAAGCAGGAGGAGGACAATGCCGAGGATTCAGAAGAGGAACTGGGCGGCTTGTTCCGACTAGCTTCCAAAAAGCAAACGAACCTGCAGCAGGACAAGGACATTCGCGACAAGGACGAGCGCTGCTTCTTCGAGTATCAAAGCGGTAAGATTTTTATCATTTATTTAATGAACGTTTTTATTAAAAATTATTCCACTTTAGATGCTACACGAGACTGGCTTTCCGATGCAAACAAGGAGCTTATCAAGAACTGCTTTGTGACAGGCAAATGGAAAGCCTCGGAAGATGCTGAAAACTTGCTTAAATTAGACGACATGAGCGATGCGGATAGCGAAGTCTATGGCGACTTTGAGGACCTGGAGACGGGCGAACAGCACAGCGGCAAGCCGAAAGTAGAAGCGGATGAGGAGAAGGCAACCGTTGATGAGGACGCCGCAGGTCCACCTGCCAAACGTAGAATGACCCGCGTGGAGGAGGAAAATCTGACCAAGGCTGAGCTTATGGCCAAAAAACTGAAACTAAAGGCCAAATTCGATGCAGAATATGATAATCATGGGAAGGGTGAAGATGATGGACGCATCACCGGCGATCACTCCTTTTACGAGGACCTCAAGGCGGAGGCCCAAAAGCAGAGTGAGCTGAACAAAAACGAGTTCGCTCAGCTGGACAATGAGCTCCGCATCCAAATCGAAGGCTATCGCGCTGGCTTATATGTGCGCCTGGGCTTTAAGTCTATACCAGCTGAGTTTGTGGAGAATTTCGATGCGAGTTATCCAGTGCTTGTGGGTGCACTCAACATGACCGAGGAGAATGTGGGCTATGTTAATTGCAAGGTCAAGAAGCACCGCTGGTACAAGAAGATCCTCAAGACTGGCGATCCACTGATCATTTCGATGGGCTGGCGTCGCTTCCAGACGGTGGCCATCTTTGCAAAGGTCGAGGACAACTTGAGGCATCGCTATCTCAAATATACGCCCAATCATGTGACCTGCAGCATGACCTTTTGGGGTCCTATAACGCCTCAAAATACAGGCTTTCTGGCGCTGCAAACTGTGCGTCAGGATCAAGAGGAAATGAAGCGTTTAGGTTTCCGCATCGCTGCCACCGGCTGTGTTACCGAACTGGACAAATCCTCGCAGATTATGAAGAAACTTAAGCTAGTGGGACATCCCTTCAAGATCTACAAGAACACGGCATTCATTAAGGACATGTTCAACTCTTCCCTGGAGGTGGCCAAATTTGAAGGTGCGAAGATCAAGACAGTTTCTGGCATTCGTGGCCAAATTAAAAAGGCCCATCACACGCCGGAGGGCTCATTCCGTGCCACATTCGAGGACAAGATATTGCTGAGCGACATCGTATTCTGTCGCACTTGGTTCAATGTGGAGGTGCCACGTTTCTATGCTCCGATTACTTCGCTACTGTTGCCCCCAGAAAAGAAGAGTCAATGGCAAGGCATGAAGACGCTTGGCCAACTGAAGCGGGAGCGGGCGCTCCAGAACGAGGCACAGCCAGACAGCATGTACACTGAAATTGTGCGCAAACCAAGGATCTTCCGGCCACTGGTCATACCAAAGGCACTGCAGCGTGCCTTGCCCTACAAGGATAAACCGAAGCTGGGCCCAGAAAATTCGAAGGAAGCTCTCGAACGCGTTGCCGTAATCAATTCGCCGTATGAGCAAAAGGTGGCCAAAATGATGAAGATGATAGAGACGAACTACGAGGACAAGCGACGTCGCGAGCAAAGGGAAACGAAGCAGCGTTTGAAAAAGTTCCGTGCCCAAAAGCGAGCTGACGAAGCATCCAAGCTGAAGCGCCAAAAGGAGCTGCGCAAAAAGGTCTCCCGGGCCATCAGCAAGATGCGTGGAAAGAACAATAAATGATTATGAAATAATGTAATGTATAGATCCTAGGGTAAACATAAAAATACATTTGTACAATTTGAAACTGCTGCTAGGTGTTCCATACATATCGTTTTTACTTGCTCAACGGCGCTGGAGCAGGTGCAGCAAAAAGCTGCACTAAACGCTGGGGCATGGGAACGTCATCCATGGGGACCAGAGCACTTGTGCAGCTCTTGCTGCACATGCTTCAGCTGGCCGCTTATCAGAGCTCTTTACTTGGAATAAATTAAAAAATATAACTTAACGCTTATAGTCTGAAAAACGCCTAACTAATCCTCATCCTTGTTGTCATCGATGACCTTTAGAGCGGCGAGCAGAGCATGTTTGCGACTGGCGACCAAGTGGCCACCTGCAGGAGCAGCTGCTGCGTGGCCTGGGCGCTTCTTTTTGCCTGGATCGTCGCGCGAATTAGTGCCCGAAGTGGGACGACAGTGGATATCCAAGAAGTTCTCACGTTCCTTGTAGTCATCTGAGATGAGCTTTCGAATGCCAGCCATGTTTTCCTTCATGTTGGGCGCACGCAAGTTAAGCTTCTGCTGCTTGGATTGGTAATGGTTTAGGACTATAAATAAATGGACTTTTTCATACTCTTTAATCATACTTACCACAGCTTTGCTTGGTGGCTCCGGTGATTGTAAGTCATCGTCGTCATCCTCGTACTCCTCGTCCATTTCCAGCATTTCAACCAGTTCACACTTGGTGTCCAAGTATGATACATATTCATCTTGGCCATTATTTTGATTTTCCTCCTCATCGCTTCCAGCATCATCTTCTTCGTCCATTTTTCCATACTTTTTGTCATCACTGTCCTCATCCTCATCACGGTCCGAATCCTCTTCATAGTCGTATTCCAATGTCTTTGCCAGTGCCTCCAGCTTTTCGGCAGCTGTATCTGCAGCAGATGCTGCTGCTGCTGCTGGTGTATGCTTCGAGCTGGGGGCCTCGCTCTCTCGACGCTTGCCGGGCAAGCTGCTGCGTGCATTGCTGCTGCCCAATGTGGATAAGCTGCCACCAAAACCGCCGCCGCCGGCACCGCTACGCTGACGTGAGTTCGACTTGCCAGAATTAAGTTTAGACGGAATCAAGGATTGGCCGAGCGAAGGACGTGATGCATTGGATTGAGCACTGGACAAAGGCTTCAGCTGGTTGTTGGCCGGAGGTAGCGTCAATTTGGCGCGTATTGGTTTGTTGTCTTTGTTATCTGGACCCTCTGACGCTTGAATGGCATTCTTCTCCTCATCATCGTCCTTTTCAAAATCGAAATTTGAGTCTGTATCCAGAACGTCGGTCAGCGCATTGAATTCACTTTGATTATTTTTCTCAATGGCCTTGTCCAGCATTTCGAGGGACTTCTCCAACTTTTCAATCTTATCTGTTTCCTCGACGGCATTCAATTTGGTGCGTCGACTCGCGGACAAGGGATTAGACTTGTCAATCTAGAATTAGTAATATTACATATACATTATGTACATCGATTTCAATGAGTTGACTCAACTGTAAATTCCTCTAGCTTGCGATATCCACTGATTTCCAACTTGGCCTTCTCTAGCTTCAGCATCACCTCCTTGCACTTCTTTTGCTCGTTGAGCAGCTGCTGGCGGAAGTTCTTCGATTCCAGCTGCACCTTGCGTGCCATAAGTTTCATATCGTTATCCTTTTCCTGCAGGCGCTGCTCCAGGACACGCACCTTATCCTGTAGCTTCTGCCGTTCATCCAGATTTCTGTAAAGTGAATGTGTGTAAACATATAATCCTCAAGTTCCACCCCAATCGCGACTTACTTGTCTCGAATCAGCTGACTGAAGTGTCTATTCTGGTCGCTTAGAGTCAAGATTTGTTGTTCCTTCTGTTTGAGCTTCTGTTCCAGCTCCTTATTGGCTGCCTGTACATTGCGATGCTTGGTCTGCCAGACACGTAGCTCTTCGGCATGAGAGTGCAATAGCTGAGGCAGCTCCGCACCCGTATTCTCATATTTATTGAGGGCCATCGATTGGCGTTTGTGCATGGTGCGCAGCATACGATTCTCGTGGGCCAAATTCGAAATTTCGGCCTGGGCATCGGCCAGCTGATTCTGGAAGGTCTTCACACGCAAATTGCGAGCGGACATCACCCGTTGATGGATGTCGCTGGTGGCTTTGTTGTTCACCATCGATGGCTGACGAAGGCCATTAGATGCCTTCATGCCGCGCTGCGGTTGTTTCCGTTGATAAATTTGGCTAGCAGATTCGCGAGAGCTGGCCGAATAGAGGCTTTCACAGCTTTTTGCCGGCAACCTGTGAGTTGCGAGTTAGGGGGATGAGGGATAATGCAGTGATCCACTGGGATACTTACGACATGTTATTATCCCACAGGGGTTCTTCTGTTGTGGGGAATGCGGATCTGCGCGGCGATACCATTTAAGTGCACACAAAGGCACTTTATTTTATATTTTTTATGATTGCGCAGAAAAGTTAAAATTTATTTGTTGAGTTGTTTCCTCAGTGTAAATATTGTTAATGATGAATTCGAATGTTGGTGTTATATTGGTGCCGGCTGGTACAGCTGTCGGTTTCTAACTGAAAATTAAACGGCTGCTGCTCTGGTTACGAATTTTGTGTTTGCTTGTTTGTTTATTGTTTGTTTGTAAAATATCATAGAAAAGTTTAGCCTTGGGGCTGGTTTTTAATTTCGAGTTGGTTGCCATGGCAAAACAAATATAACGGTACTTGGCCATTGTCAAAACAAAACATTATAACATTGCCTATCGATAGGCGGGCGATGGCAACTTGACGAGCATGTTCATTTAGTAGTAACAGCTGCAGACCGCCAATTGGATAGGAATAGTTAATCATTTGAAATGGTCGAATCAGTGGGTGCAAACGCTTCATCTGTATTTCGTTGTCATGGCAAGCCGTGGGAAACGGTAAGTACATATCGTAAAATCACTAACCAGAGTCTATCGATTACAATAGTGCTGACAACTTGTCGCGATTGCACATTAGTTCTCAACCGGTTCAGCAGTGAACAGCACAGCAGCAGCTATTCATTGAGCAACGAGTATCGCTTTCTATTTCAATGCATTTTCATTAATTGCTCCAGTTTCTTAAGTGAAAATTAATCAATGAAATTGTGCGCATCCGGAAGTATTACAACATATGCAGCGTGCCCGCATTAATATGTGTAATTGAAACGTCAAGAATTCGTTGAAATAACTGTATTCGTTAACAGATGCAACACAAACTCTTAAGATTTTCATCTTTGTAGGCGAATCGAATTGACGTAGGCGCCGTCACAAGGACGTTTACAAAAAGAGTGAGAGAGAAAGAGACAGTGGCAGCAGATTAAAGGGCACATCTGACATCAGCACGCACAAATAAAGGAAAATGATTCACGTTGGTGAGAATTCATGGAATTTGCGCATCTTTATAACGGATCTGTCTCTGGAGCGTACGATGCGCGTGCGCGGTGACCAGCATTTGGGCAGCATAATGCTGCAGCTGGTCGATCCAGAGAATCCGAAAGATTGGTCCGATCATGCACTCTACTGGCCAGCCAAGAACATTTGGCTTACGCGCACACGAGCCACACTCGATCAATGTGGCGTCCAGGCGGACAACTTGCTACATTTTACTCCCATGCACAAGATTCTGCGCGTCCAGTTGCCAGATCTGCGTTACATTGACTGCCGCGTGGATTACTCCGCAAAGACCTTTGCGGCTGTTGTGAATCTGTGCAAACAGCTAGACATACGCTACCCTGAGGAGTTGTCCCTGTGTAAGCCGCTCGAGCCGGAGCATCTAAAGAAGAACTTTGCCCAGTTGCCGCATCTGAAGCGTGTGCCGATTGCGGAGCCAGACGGCACAACTTACCTGCAGCCTGCCCCAGATACCAACTCATTTGTACCCATCAATTCGAGTTTTAATGGCGGCAGCAACGGCAGCCTTGACAAACCATCGGCTCCAGGCTTATTCTTCTGTGCACCGCTCTCTCCACACAATGTGGCTAGTCGACGCTCTCCCACACCTCATACACCCGGAAACTGGAAGCCCAGCCATACAGGCTACGGCACCTATGACTCCTCGTCCTCGAGCTTGGGCGACTTCCAGGAGAACTTGGCCAGTTCGCCGCATGCGCCCAGCGCTGAGGTACGCGCCCGTCTGTTGCGCCCAAAATCGTTGGTGGAGAAGGCTCGACTGAATGTAGGTTGGCTGGACAGTTCGTTGTCGCTGATGGAACAGGGCATTCGGGAATATGACACGCTGTGCTTGCGCTTCAAATACTACACGTTCTTTGACATGAATCCCAAGTACGACCAGGTGCGCATCAACCAGCTGTACGAGCAGGCCAAATGGTCTATTTTGAACGAGGAACTGGATTGCACCGAGCAGGAGACGCTCATGTTTGCTGCTCTCCAGTTCCAGGTGAATCATCAGGTGGACATGCAGCCGCTGCCCGCCGTAGATTCCGGCGTTGAGACGTCCAGTCAGGAGAACGACGACGATGACATCGATTCAGCGCTCAACGAGCTTCAGATCACGCTGGAAGGTAGCAATGCTAACGATTCGGTTAACATCACCCACATACCGGAACTCTCCGACTATTTGCGCTTCCTTAAGCCTCAGCGCTTCACGTTGCGCGGCTACAAGCGCTACTTCTTCACCTATCGCGACTTGCACTTGCATCTATACAAATGCGCTGAGGATTCGCGACGTACTGCGCCCGTAATTAGTATCAATTTGCGTGGATGCGAGGTGACGCCAGATGTGAATCTGGCACAGGGCAAATATGCAATACGGCTCGAGGTCTCACCAGAGGATCGCCATGGACCCAACAGTGAGGTCTGGGTGCGCTGCGAGAACGAGCAACAGTATGCCAAGTGGCTGGCCGCGTGTCGCCTGGCGGCCAAGGGTCGTTCCCTGGCGGACAGCACATATGAGAGCGAAGTCGATGGCATTCTTTCCCTACTGCAGATGCAACGACCCGTGCATGGCATCCACGTCAACATCGATCCACGCAGTGTGGATCCTGTCGACTATCTGTCGCCGAAGATGCTGCGCAAGCTATCCGGCAAGGCCGTGCAGCGCATTCTAGAGGCGCACGCTAATGTGCGGGAGCTGTCACTGCTAGAAGCGAAATTGAAGTATATCCAAGCTTGGCAATCTCTTCCCGACTTTGGCGTCTCACTGTTCATCATCAAGTTCGACGGCCACCGCAAGGAGGAGCTTCTGGGTGTGGCCCACAATCGAATCATGCGCATGGATCTGAGCACGGGGGATCATATCAAGACCTGGCGCTACAACAGCATGAAGGCCTGGAACGTTAACTGGGGCATTAAGTGCATGATGATTCAGTTCAACGATGAGAACGTCGTCTTCTCTTGCCTTTCTGCTGACTGTAAGGTGGTTCACGAATTTATTGGCGGTTACATTTTCATGTCAATGCGCTCCAAGGATAACAATCAGACGCTCAACGAGGAACTGTTTCATAAACTGACTGGCGGCTGGTCCTAAACTCTATAACACTTTTTCGTATTTATAGAGGAATCTCTTATTGTTGACAGTGGCCTTATTTAGAGCCCATTTTTAAAAGCTGACGAAAGTGCCTACTCACAATTGTTTAACCAAGTCTTCGACGATTGTCCCTTTTTAAACTAATCCAATGGATTTTTACTGATTTTAACTCTATATACTATATATACTCTACAATACTAGCCAAGGGCACTTTTGCTCGCTTAATAATAATAATAATACAGCCTTTATACAACTAACTCTTAAGCGCGAATAAAGTAAATCATTTGAACGATTTCTGAGGTCGGTATTTTATTTAAATTCAATTTGCGCGCCTCTGTGTTTTATTATCGATACATAGAGTTGGTGATATCGATAACTCCATCAGCTGATTGCTTGTAAACAAACCAATTGTCAATAAATGTATTTGGTTCTAATTAAAAAATGTCTAAAACCTCATACGGGAAGAGAAAGCCATGGGTTAAGAACCTCTACTCAAATCGTGACTATCCCGATAACTATACGGATGTGAGTTTTCTGAAAGATTTGCAAACGAATCTTCACGTACGACTTTATACGTTCAGTGAGGCTGTTGCCGGCATCACCGTGCTGAACAATCAAATATCCTGCATAACTGGCTTTCTGATACTCTACCATATGATGCTCAGCGATAGCCTCTCACCGACGAGTATACTGGCGCCCACATGTATCATCACCGGCATCGGATATTTATGCTATCGTGGCAGCAGCCTTAGCATGAAACTGCTGGGCGAGGACTCGACGACGCTTTGCACTGTGTTGCTCTTTGGCTACATCTTCTCGCCGATGCTGCACACCCTGACACAGGCCATTAGTACGGACACCATATATACAACGACATTCTTTGTGATGCTCTTCAATTTGATGTTCTCTGACTACGGTCTGAAAGTGGCCATGGTCTCCAAGGCCATATCCCTCAATGCAGCCATATTCGGAGCTATATGCCTGGCGTCACGTCTCTCTACGTCGTATCACGCCTTCGTGCTGCTCGTGGAGGCGGCAATCTTCTTTGTGCTCTATCCCATCATAACAGCGGCCACATGGCACGCCCTTTACATGGTGCCCATCTTCTGCATATGCTGTGCGGCACTCTATTGCATATCGCGGCCCGTGCTATATTTATATGCCTGCACCACGCTGTTTATAAACTTCGCCTGTCCGTTTATATTCGTAAGGCACCAGCGGCATAAGTTCAACATTCACGGCCCGTGGGATGAGGCGATTGTCGAGGAGAACACCGACAAGAATCTAGATGAGAACTTATAGCGTCAGCTTCGCTTCTCAGAGATGCAATGCATTGATGACGGGGAGCACGAGCCAGAGCAATAAATATTGTCTTTATTTCAAGCACTCTTTTTGGTTTTATTTACATTCCATTCAAAGATTTTCTAATTTATTTTCTTAGTTTGCTTTTCAATTTTAATCTTAAAATTTACTCTTAAGTTGATTGTAAATAGACAGAAAAAATGATCTACTCTGTAAAAAAAATGCAAATACTTTGTTTATTGTTTAAAGTTGTTATGAAGTGAAATAAAATTGCAAAACTATAATAAAATATATTATTTACAAATGAAATTTGGAAGGGCTTTGGCTTTAATCAAAATCAAATAGAATTATATTTTGTTTGGCTTTCATTTCTCGTGTCATTTAATTATATAATGATTTATGTTTGATGTAGGCATATTTACAGACATACACGCAGACACAGTGAAACAATCAGATAGGATAATACAGCGTCATAGTAATAATAAATATAATTAATAATATACTAATTAGCATAGCGCAGTAAAACCCTTTTCATACTTCAGCATTATTAATCAAACTACTAAGAATAAAAAATTAATGCCTAATTATAGAATGTATATATAAGTTTTTTTGTTTTATTTTACTTTTGTTTATAGAATTTGCAAAAATTGTAATACGCTAGGTATTCGTAATTCTTTTAACTTTCCTCTAAACAGTCACAGCTGTCACTGTCTTTGATCATTAACTATATTATGTATATATATATATATATATCTACTAAATATAATGTGTTTTTTCTTCATCTCCTTTTCATGTATAAACTTTTTCAAAATGTAAAAAACGTACATATATTCTTAATTGTTGTTGCTCTTAGGGCTAAGAATTAACTAATATTTTGTTTCATTGTTTTTCTTTTTGTTCAATCTATCAACATTTCATATAATTTATATATATTATATGAAAAACTGCTAAATTGCTAAATCTAAACATTTTGATTTCAATTAAACTAGCACATAAAATATATAAATGAATTATGTTGCGCTGTTAATGTTTGTGTTTATGTTGTGGTTGTCCCTTTTTTGCGCATAAGCACCCACACTTTAAAATAATTCTTTATCTGCTAAACTAGACAACAACGTTGAGAACCTGCACTTAACCACGAACTAAAAACAAAATATGTGTGTGGGTGTGTGTATTTTTCTACTAAACAGCTTAGGTGGCGTCTCCATCCTCTGCTCCTTTAAAGCGCCACCTCATCGCCGTTTCGGGTGCAGGCACCGCCGCTGAGTTTCACTTGCTCCTTGGACTGCGCCTCGGCACGCAGCTGCAGCTCGCGACGTCTTTGTGCAGTTAGCGAGAGACTTGGGCTGGCATCGCTGGCCGCGATGACTTTGGAAGTTGTTTGCTTTATTATATCACGTGTTGTTGATGATGTTGTGGTTGGGCTTGTATCAAAGTGTACTTGATGCTGTTGTGCTGTTGGCTGTTGCTGTTGTCAGACTATTTCATTCTTTGGCGTTGGCTCCGCGGCTGCTGTTACAGCGCTGCCATTGCTTATCACCGGGTTGACGCCACTGGCTGCGGCCTCTAGCAGCGAGCCAGCCTCAACATCGCCCGCTTGGCGTGCCGCGTTTCGTTGACGGCACATATAAGGTGAACTTGAGGGTGAAGGCAGCGGATTCTGTAAGGAAATATCGATTTAAATTTCTCTTGCTCAAAGGGAATTCATTGCAACTAACCAATTTGTTGTTGTTTTGGCAGCAGGTGGCCTTCACGCAGCCCTCCTCTGTGGTGGGACAGTCGAGGGCACAGCAATCGGAGCCACTCATATTGATGCTGGAGGTGCCATCGGACATATTGCAGCCCTCGATCTCACTGAACTCTGGCTGTATGGTGGTCGAGTGTATGCCTTCATTGTGAAAGAATTCCTTGACCTTCTCGGCTATCTTCATGTACTCTGACAGATTGCGGCAACTGCAAGGCAACTCAAAATTAGCTATGAGCACTTAAGGTTATTCCGATTAAACATTTACCGTATGTGTGCAGAAGCAATGATGCGATCTCCGGCCAACTGCCAGACATGGAATTCGTGCACTGCCAGCACTCCGTCAACCTTCTCCAGCAGTCGCTTCTGTATGGCGTCGACCTGGATGTGCGTGGGCACCGTTTGCAGCAAAATCAGCGCCGATTCACGCAGCAGCGGCCACACAGAGTGCAAGATTAGCGCTACTAGCACAATGGACAGCGCTGGATCAATGTACAGGCGATACTCCCAGTCACTCTTCCAGACGACCAGTGCACTTACTACCACAATAACGCTGCCCAACGCATCGCTGAGCACGTGCAGAAAGGCGCCACGCATGTTCATCTGGCCGGGATCATGGCTGTGACCATGGCTGGACTTCTTAACCTGCTTTTCTTTCTGCTTTTCATAGGCATAATCGTTCGGCTCATCCTCACCCTCGTCCATATTGGCCAGCTCTGTAAGCCGACTGTGATTGCGTGTCAAGCCGCCGCCATGCGAGTGTCCGTGATGACCGCCATGCTCTAGAATCAATTAACCTTGTTCCATTAATAAGTTAAACTAAGTAATATGTAGCATACGTACCATAGAGCAGACACAGGCCAATCATGTTGACCAGCAGACCGAGTATACCAACAATGAGCAATAGTTCTGGCTGATGTATGGGCTCCTGCTCAATGAATCTGTGACAAAAATTAAAGACAAAATTTAAGGAATTGTTCATTGAGGGCATAACGATCACTTTAAATATAAATTTGGTCAACTCTATTACAGGCATGTTATTAATTACATATAAATGTTAGTAACATAATGCGTGAGGATTATGTTTCTAGCTCTGTTATACTGCAAAGTCAATAGCATTAGTTCTGTTATGCTGCATACAGCCACTGGTTAGTGATACAGCTTACTGTTATTAACATGAGAACGTAACTGAATTAATATTTCATACTTTAACTTGATCAATTTATTGAAGGAAAATGAATTTATTCGAAAAATAATAACTTTTATTATAGTAATACAAAGAAAATGTATATGCTTAACTGATTAATTCTATTGAACAATAAGGGAGAAGCCTTTGCACGTTCATCCAAACGAATGGCGTATAAAAGCGTAAAGTGGGAAGAAATAAATATGCACACGGCATGCAAATTGAAACGTTGCGAATAACGAATGACGAAAAAGATCGAAAAACGTAAATTCAAACAGCAGCAACAACAACAAAAGCAAAATACAAATTTACAAATTAAACGAGCGACTAACAACAACAACAACAACAACAAAGTGGTCAAGAAAATGTGTAAGCAGACGTAATGGTGACAAGGCAAACGGTTCGGATTGCGTTTTGGGTGTGTGAGTGAGCGATGTGGAGGCGTTGACCACAGCAACAAAGAAACATAAATATATACACTGTATGTATATATAGTATGTATATGGGTACAGGTACAAGTGCCTCACCTTTTACAAGCCTCAATTGTGATGCTGAAGCAGAGCGCAACCAGAAACACCGCATTGACTAGAGCTCCCAGCACCTCGGCTCGTGCCCAGCCAAAGGTGTTCTTCGACCATTTCTTGGGCGACATCTGTTAATAAGAATATATATATATATATTAATTATACTTTCATGTTTAGTATCTGGTTATGGTGCACTCACCTTCACTGAGAGGAATGATATGACCAGGGCAGCAATGTCGCCCAACATGTGAAAACTGTCCGCCACTAGCGCCATTGAATTAGTCACATAGCCCACGATGATCTCCACAAAGAAGAAAAACGCCGTCAGCCACATCATTGAGAGCAGGCGACATTTTTTGCCCGAATATTTGGACATCTTGGAGAAACTAAAAAATACAAATTAGATATAAGATATAATTAGATATATAGATAGTCAGTTATATTTGCATAAAACATAGAAACTAAAGAAATTATGTAAGTCGTATTATACACAAATGGGATTCTGTATATATATGTATATCAGAG